TCGAGAGAACGATTCGGTGGCCGCGTAACAGAGAAACGGCCAAATAGAGTGATAGTGGCCGTTGATCGGGTATAACCGCACGCGTGCCGGCCGCTTAGGCCGCCGCAGAAACGCGATCACGGTTCAACAAGCGCAAACATAAAATTACACACGGAATCGGGGTCTGCCGTGTCCCTGTTCCGCTTACATGCGGTTTGTCAAACGTAACTTCCGTAATACCCGATGCGCAATCGGCCTTCCCGTATAACCGATTGTCGTTTTCGCGGTGATCTACGATTTTCCCTCTTTCCCCAAGTGTGTGCATCGTACTCCATTCCAATTTTCCACGAGTGTCTCGCCTAGAATTTCGCTTTTATCGCCGCTCGTCCAGAGGAAGGATCGTGGCGGTATGCGCGATAACGAGGGAGGGGAAAGGGGAAGGGGAATTACACGCTCAGGGGTTGAAAAACTGATAACCGCATGATCGTTTCAGGTTAACTCAGAAATCTTGTTATTTCCTGGTTGTACATCGAAAGGAAGGAGGTTTTGCTTTTTTTTTAGAATTTGAAACTAGTTGGAATTAATATATTTTTAAACGGAAATGTAATAAGCGATATTGTATCCCTTAAGGATACAATAGGTATAATAGATAGGAAGTTTTTTTTTTTTATATATATTTTATGATATATGAATTTGAAATGGTTTGTTCAAATGTTTTGGTGATTATAAAAGAGGGTGATAATAAAATATTCAAGGTATATATAGCACGCGTGACAGTACACGAAATCTCTTTTTAAGCTTCTTTTTATCTCTTTAGTTTCTATGTTTACGTAAAAATTTTTACTTTGCACGATTATCGACGGCCGGTAAAATCGTACACGCACGTATGTATATCTTTGCTTGTTAAAAAGATTTCTAATAATGAGATTTAATCGTAAAATATTATTTTTCCATTAAAGTTACTGTAACGTAAACTCGTACCACGACCTAGATTCGAAAGGAAGCGTATTTACAGATTCCAACATCTCTGGCAATTTATCGAAGCTTAAATAAATTAATCGACGAAAACTGAGAACCTCTATCCTGGAATAACGCAGGAGTTTCGAAGTCATTTCCGCGTTAAGTGTTGAAGCTATTCTTGAGCGTGAAATAATATAGGAGTTCCGAAGTTACTTTCCTCGTCATGAAATATTGTTAAAGTTTTCCAAGTTACTTTTCAACATAAATGTAATGGTTTTGCAGTTACTCTTATCCTTAAGCATCAGAATTACTTCGATACGTTAGTTTTCGAAAGTTTCGAAATAATATTATATTTTAGCACGTGATACGTGATGTTCTATCTTCTATATTTTTTAATAAATTTTTTACTTTTTAATTACCAAACTGATTGAGAAAGCATTGTAAAATTTTTATTATTATTAATAAGAACCATCTCGAGTAATGCAATTAAGTTACAGATGATAGTAATTATTTATTTTTTCGTATCCATTATTTAATTGCCGTTAAATGAGTTACTTAATTGAATTAATTGTTTTATAACGAGCAAATAAATGATTGCAATTCAACCGCAAAATCGTTTCAATTATCATGCTTTTCTCAAGATTTCTTATCGCCATTTTATCGCTTCCGCTGTACCAAGAAATTATTAAACTTGTAGAAATCATCATCTCTCACAATTAATCGAAAAATATCTGTCGACCAAAAATTTGTTGTCCAAATTTTTCCAAATCCGTTACTTTTATTATCGATTAAAAATCGATTTATATATTTCACAAAATTTCAAATCAAATTTTCGATTAAATTAAAATTATTTATTATATTATAACTATCGAATCAAGAGAAATTAATTCTCCTATTTATAACACGCCAAGAAAAAAGATTTTACCAAGATAGCGGAGCACGAATAAAATTAAAAATGAAAATCAAGGCTAATGAATCACAGGCTAAAGAAAAAAAAATATAATATAAATTCCTCGAGAAACACGAGAAAATCTTTATAGAATACGTAATAATAACAATATAATTCATGCTGTCAAACACTGAAATTGGCCGATTGACACCATAAATCACAAGTTATAAAACATGCCGTGAAATCGATATAATTATAAAATTATATCGGCGATAAAGAAGACTGTAGTTTGAGGCTGTACTAATGAAAGCAATTAGCAGAAATTACCGCCCTAATTAGCTGGTCGTGATTACTGCGGCATCGCAGGAAACTGCGGATCCTTTTTCGCCTTCCTTTTCCTCTTTCTCTCTGTCCTCCTTTCTTTTCCATACCTTCTTTTCTCCTCCTTCCTCCTTCCTCCTCCTCCTCCTCCTCCTCCTCCTCCACGTAACGGAAAAT